GCTACGCCTCGCTTCAGTCTCTGGCCCTCCTCCTTAAGAGTTACAATCTGCAGAAGCTGTCAAGTTTCAAATTATCAAAGACTGCCACAGTTACACTTTCGAGCCAAAATTCTCAGAAATATCCTCTGCAATATTCTACTGCAAGTGTGAGAATAACCTAATTCTTACATACAAGAATAGGCCTATGTCTCACTGATTTGTTCATAACCACCAACTGTGAAACAATTAAATTTCTAATTAATAAACTTAATTAAATTTAAATGGGTGCATGGCAGTGGTGCGGTTACACTGGTATTCAAAAATGAAACAGATGGTGTTTACTAAGTGCAGAGGCATTATAGTTTTAACCAGTTACCACTTAATATTGTATGATAGCATCCTGCTGCACATCATTTAATTATTCCTATTAGTTATTAGTAGGGACCAGATTTTGATGCAAATGCATAGCTCTTTCTTGCAACCAGAAAGTATGCTTGTTTGGATATATGTATGAATTACTTCATTTCTTAAATTCCAGACATGGTTGGATAGTGCATATAAATGCATACTTCGCCTGTTTTATGAATAAGCATAGTATTTTCGAAGATCTCTATTTATACTGCATATTTCCTTCTTAAAATATTTACCATATATATTTTTTAATTTTATATTCAAATTTTCAATCGTGGTCATGTGTATACAATTTTTCTTTTCCATATTAGAATATGTTGCATATTTGACTCAACATTTCGTCATGATTCATGTTTCTGATGCAATACCCAGGACGGGACTTTCCCGATCTTTCCACTCGTAACTTGCCTCATCCGTGTACCATCAAAGTGGCTGCGAAGAGATTAGTTGGAAGTGTTCACATGTGGCCACTATCAACGTAATACTATTCAACCGATAAGGACTTCATTTATTTATTTCCAAAGTCTCCATGAGGTTCGCTACGCTTCTTCATTTGAAGCTGGGGGCCATTAACATTAGTGGTGACTAGTCTGTAGTTAAGTTTGTTTAGCTTTCTGTAGTCATGTCGAAAGTGAAAGGAAGTCAGAAAACTAAATTACAGCTGTATGAGCGGGTGTTCAAAGGAGAGATGATAAGTATGGATAACGAAATTCTTTATTGTCAAGCGTTTGAGAAAACAGTTGGTTGTGAAAAAAGCTTTCACGTGCTTCAGCATTTGAACACTAATATACACAAAGAGAATATTAAAATTAAATCCACAAAAAGTGCTCCTGTTCAAAAATTGCTTAGTGAATTTTCTAATAATAGTTTTTCACAGTTTTCCTTTGATTTATGCAAAGCATTTTTAGTGGCAGATATTCTGCTGTGGAAACTAACCAATCATACTCTGAGAAACTTCATAGAGAAGTATACACAGTGCAAAGTGCTGGATGAATCTACTGTGCACAAAAATTACGTGAAGCAGTGTTACGATCTTACAATTGAAAGCATTAGAGATAAGATTCAAGATAATTTTGTGTGGGTATCAATCAATGAAACACGTCATTGTGAGGGACGGTTTATTGCAAATTCTATACCTGGATCCCTTAATAAGAATGAACAATCTATCCCATATCTTCCTGCGGTAGAGCAATTTGAAACCACAAATAGCTCCACAGTTTCCAAATTTTTTATCAATGCCATGAATTTACTATGGCCGAATGGTATTCAGTACGAGCGCGTATTGCATTTTGTGACCGATGCCGCAAGTTATATGAGGAAAGCCGGTACTGTTCTTAAAGTTATATTTCCAAATATGACATTTTTGACTTGCCTTGCCCATGGGTTGCACCATGTTGCAGAAACAATTTGTGCAGATTTTCTGCTTATTGACAAGTTGGTGTCTTCTGTGAAGAAGGTATTTGCTAAAGCGCCATACAGATAAGAAGCCTTTAAAGCAGTAGCACCAAGCATTCCACTTCCACCAGAACCAATTTTAACGCGCTGGGGCATATGGCTGTGTGCAGCGAGTTATTATACCGAACATTTAGAAACAGTTAGGAATGTCGTGAATACACTTGATCCCAAGAATGCAGCATCAATTCAAATTGCCCAAGATGTACTAAAAACACAGAACTAGAAACTAATCTTTTCTATATATCTGCTCACTTCTCTCATCTTCCATCCGCAATTTCCTCACTGGAGGCAAGCAATAGCAATACTACTTTGTATCAGTCATTAAGTGTGTTCAAAACCGCTGTTCCCAAATTGAATTCGGTTCCTGGAAGAGTTGGTGAACTAGTAAAGGAAAAAGTACACAGCATTCTTTAAAAAAATCCAGAATATGAACAAATCTGTGAAATTGAAGAAATTTTATCCGGTAAACGTACTGAACTGCCAAGTAAAAAATCACTAACAGCGGAGCAAATAGCGGCTTTTGTACACGCACCTCTAAGTTCCTGTGAGGTGGGAAGAAGTTTTTCCCACTATAAATAAATCTTACGAGATAATAGGAGGTGACTAACTATGGAAAACCTAAAACACTTAGTAACTGTGAACTGCAACAGAAGAGAAGTTGAAAGTTCAGAGAGCTAAATGTGAGTACCATTGTTTTTTAAATTTGTAATGAAATACATTGGCTTTGTTGCACGATTTGTATTTAAGTACAGCCTTTTATTGCAAGTGAATCATTCTGTGATTACATAAAATGAACTTAAATATTGATTTGCTGGTCTTAAAATAATGTAAAATCAATTTTAATATTTGGTATAAATTTTTATGTGCGTATTTTAGTGCATATTTTGGAAGTTTTTCATGCATAAATGCATACATATTTAAGGGATTATTAGGGCATAAAAATCCGGTCCATAGTTATTAGCTGTCTCACATGCAACTTGCTTTTTAAAATTGTAGAAGTTTAAAACACTACACTACACTAAACTCTCTTCTACATCACTGGTGTGCACATTACATTTCGACCAACAGTGGTCACCTTCAGGTGTCACTAAAATTGTGATAGTTTTAGAAAGCAAGATGCATGTGAGATAGCTAATAACTAACAGGAATAAACAAGTTACCACTTAGTTTTTATTAAAATGGTATTCAGGTATGAATTTCAAATACTAACACCATGTGTTTTGAATGCAGTACATAGCATTGTGATGTGATGTGACAAACCACAAAGTCTGGCTTAAGTAAATACAGAGGGGTCCAGAAAATTTACTAACTCTTTGATAGTCAGTGTCTTTGGAACAAAATGACATGTAGTTACAATTCTTGTGCGGAGAGAGAGAGTCATTGTATGTGTTCGAAGTGACCACCATCAGCGGCTAAATACTGTCGATGCCGCTGAACTGCTGAGTGATACGGCTGTCAGTGTGTCCGGTGTGATGGCTGCACACGACACTTTGATGGTCGATGGAATAGTACCATTCATTTTGAATTGCGCCTTGTCAGACCAGATAACTTTCCCTGCAAACTCCTCATCCTTGCGAACCATGCCTTCAAACCACTCGCAGTATTCAAGCCTTCGATCCGGGTCATCCTTGTTCATAGCGTGCAGCAGTCTTGGAATGTATACTTTCCACTTTGCAGCCTTCAGAATTCACTGTATACTTGATCACCTTACCCCACTTTCACATGCACACTGATTCACAGATTTTTGCGGTGATTGTGTAAAGTGTTGCAACACCACGGCACTGGAATCTGGACTTGTTACTGTCCGTGGGCGCCCAGATCTTTGCTTATGCACATCATGAACAGTACCGTCGGCTTCAAATTTACCCTGAATACGGGCAATTGTTCGACGTGTTGGTGGCTGAGTTCCAAACTCATTCTGCCATAGTCATTGTACCTCTTTAATGTTTTTGTACTTCCAATACCACTTCAATATGGTCTTGCGTTGCTCAAAGAACAACCTTTCAGCCATTATTGCTGCTGCCTTCTGCTCGCAGCGCGCATGCGGCACGACACTCACATGACTCATTGGACTTCACCATCTGCTGAGAAAACATTACACTTCACTACCATGCAAGAACTGTAACTACATGTCAACTACATTATTGGCTATCAAAGAGTGAGTACATTTTTTTGGACCCCCTGTATGAAGTTGCTATGTGAAATGACTCTTATATGTATTACATTTTGGAATATAATATCTGAGCTTGCACAGTGTGTGTTTTACCCCACTTCAAGTAAACATGCAGGGGCATTCTTCATATTTGTGGACAGTGCATGTTCATATTCCATAACCAGAAAGGACAAACTCGAAACCTAAAGGGTGCTCATAAATCCTTTTAGATGTGGATAATCTCCCATGTAATTTACAATCATAACAGACTCCAGCCCTTAAAGTTACAGTTACCAAAACCACAGAAGGTATTTTGGTTTATCCATAAAAAAGCTGCCATGAAAGAAATCTGTTGTTTATAATACTTCAATTCTAGGTTCAAATTAAAATGTATTNAGTTAATAATACCATTTTATGAAGAAAGCAGTCTTCGTGGATTTGGCACCGTGTATATGTGGTGTTAACCGACGTTTCAGAGGAACGTATCACCTCCATCTTCAGGGTAAAGGAAAAAAATATAAGAAATCCGCAAGCGAAGAGACCGTGAGAACCGGTCAAAGCAGTCTCTTCGCTTGCGGATTTCTTATATTTTTTCCTTCTACCCTGAAGATGGAGGCAATACGTTCCTCCGAAACGTCGGTTAACACCACATATACACGGTGCCAAATCCACGAAGACTGCTTTCTTCATAAAATGGTATTATTAACTTATGAGTTCTACTATAACAGAAGAAATCTTTCACTGTGTAAAAGTACTTCATCAGTCCACAGCTATTACTGGAACAAAAACATACAACAGAAGAAATATTTCACTGTGTAAAAGTACTTCATCAGTCCACAGCTATTACTGGAACAAAAACATACAACAGAAGAAATATTTCACTGTGTAAAAGTACTTCATCAGTCCACAGCTATTACTGGAACAAAAACATACAACAGAAGAAATATTTCACTGTGTAAAAGTACTTCATCAGTCCACAGCTATTACTGGAACAAAAACATACCTTTCACAGATTGAGTTCCAAACTCTGGAAGAACCAAGCGCAAATATCCATAGAAAAAGTTATAGGCCATTCCACTTCCATAATCCAAACTGTTCATTTTGTCAATTTGAACTGAAACATGAACTGTACTATATTCCTGTAATGAAAAAAAAAAGTTCTCATTTTTGGTCCATGATAGCATCATGTGAACATATCCGTCTCCATTTGAACCGATTATGAATATGCAAGAAATTTAGTATGCTGCAATGCTGTTGATGGCTAATATTCCATCCTTGTATTACTAATTCCCTACCATCAAATATACCAACATTTCTGAGGTCTAAGTGAAAACAGCTCTGCTTACTGTAAGGCACCAAAACTTTGTGTGCAAAAAGTTTTTTGGTCGTTACGACCTTAAGTGGTCAATAAAGCTATTCACCAATCCAAATACCATCAAGAGTGACTCCTACACACGACAACACAAAGGTTCCACAATTCTGTATCAATATTAACACAATCACTCCCAGGACTTCTGCAGCTGGCTTACCACCAAATCTGCCACTTCTACGTGTAGTAGTACAACAGCAGCTGACAATATTTCTCAGTAAAGATCTGTATGTTCCAAAAACTGCAAAATGTAGCTACATGCACATATAGAGAGAGGAAGAAGCTACTTGT